CTGGGCGCAGAGGAGCATTTCCCATCTTTGCTACTTCCCATTAAGTGTCAACCCATCCAGAGCCATTCCGTGAGCTTATGAGAGTTGATTTACCATGGTGGCAGCTCGCTCAAGCTTCACAAAAATTAACAGGTCTCATCAGAAGGAGTCTTGTAAACTGGAAACAGTGAAGTAGCGAAGGTGCAAAATGCCCCCCCCCCTCCCGGCGCCCAATCGCGCATGCTTCTGACGGGGGGGGGATGCTTCAGGTTCAAGGTAATGAAATCATCGTCATCGGTGTTTCTGGCATAAATAATAACTACGCGTGACTGACGTGGCACTTCCCGCGTTGGCCGGCGGAGGCCATTTGCACGCCATGATGAGAACCCTGATAGGAATTCCGGAAGTTCAACTCAACATCATCGCTTTTGGATAAAAGGAAATGTTGTAGGATAATAGGGCTATCGTGAATTATCCATATTTTTAGTATTCTCCAGCTCGTTGTTGTGGAACTCATTAGTATCGCTCTCTCTGCCGTGCCTCTGTGCCTCTCGAAAAACATGTTCGTCCTGAACATATTTATCCCTTTTTTTATTATAAAAGAGGCATTCTGTGGACTGTGTGGTTGTGAGGCAGGAGGGCGAAGATTTTGGCCCAACATCGGTCTGTGGTGGGGGGTGGGGGGGGGGGTAGAAGTGCCGGATAGATGGGCTAATTCCTTAGTGCAAAGATGTATTTTCACATTCCAGTAAACCTTGTGTTACACAACTAATCCTTGGGTCGTACCACTTTCGTGAAACAGTGCCTTATATAGTTATGCAACAACCTTTCCTTGTTCGGTAGCCTTCCCCAACACCTGCCTACGAGTTCCCAGCTCTATCACTTTTTCCGAAATTTCCCTCATTTTCCAGTTTTCTACGCAACGAATTTCGGGAGAGGGGGAGGGGGGAGTATGTAGCTAATGTGAAATGGGAAAAACCGCAAAAAGTCAACAACTGGGAAATTTTTCCCAACGTGGCAAAATTCTCTCAAAGCTACAGACCCCCTCGCAACAACGACAAAATACGACCCCCCTCCCCAGCGGCCGAGCGCGATCCCCCCTAATGGTTTCACACAACGATGCTGTTCCCTGCGCCGGCCGCAGCCACAGTGGCGGATGTGGAGTTCGTTCCAAGTATAAATATAGGGTGTGGGACGTGTGGCAAAACTTCCGGAGGGTGACAAGCACGAATAACAGCTGGCGAGACTTGATAAGGGCTTTATGAAGGTAGGGCTACCAAATTCACAGCGCCCTTCCCTGGAACAGTGTTTTAAGAAGAAATGGAGAATTAGGGGAGGTTGGCATTTTTGCTGGTGAAAGGAAATGATAAGGGCTGATAAAATCTTTTGGGAGGCTTTAGAAGAGAAGGGATCACCAGATCCGTAACGCGAGTTACACCAACAGGGGCGTCGGTTCTATTGCTGCTGTGACTTCCATTACGACTGCATGGGGGTAGAATGGACACTTATGGTAGGTGACTGGGGGTCATAATAACCGATAATGAGGAGGAACGTGCTCCAGATTTCACGTCAAAGTTCTCTGCGAGTTGTAGCCCCGCTCACAGCACGAACGGTGCTGTGATTTTCCCTATCGTAGCACAAAGTGTGGGATGGGGACACCAGCGATTGGTAACAGGATTTGATAACCGTAAATTAAGGCCGCATTGTTGAGTTCTAGCGGCTAAATCTGCTACACCACTCACGAAAACATCATTGATACGCCTCAGTTGTCATGCTCTCAGTAATTGATGTGCCACTTATTTATGCTCCCTTATCTGTAGGGACGTCATATCCTCCCGCTAAACCAGTTGACTCTGTCCATAGTTGCACGGTTGATGTTTACAGAGCAGAGTTGTGATGAACAGTTGCAAATGACGTTGTCACGATACTATAATTATCCTTCATCAACAGCGTTATTTAATACCATTTGAGGCGTCCTACATCGGTATGCAAGGGAAGCATGAAAAAGTAGGACCATCCAGAGGTAGAGAATACACGAAGCGGCAGGCGCTTCTTCTGCGAAGACTCATGGAACTGTGAGGTTTTTCAGCGAATCGATCGCTTTTTGGGATGCGCATTCTGCTTTCGATCGGAATCGTAGTGGCCTTTTGAATACAATATGGCCTGTACAATATTCCGCGGGGCCTTTTGAAAGTTCGTGCTCCCATCTTCTTGGCAACTCTTGAACCAATTTACCGTCCCTGGGGGGGGGGGGCAGAAGGCGTGCTTGGCCTGGGCAGAAGCCAATCCGGGATTCGATCCCTGGAACGTGCGACGCGAGCCACTTGCCACTACACCACCTGATAATTTATTGTCAGAGTTATGCCGTCGCCAAGATGTGGCTCATTAAGATGTTTCTCAAATTTCGAAGGGGCTGTACGTTGGATTCTTCAGGAGACGGGCAAGAGAGTCGTAAATTGCCGCTTCGTCGCGCGTGGCAGACGTTCTCTTAACTTGCACTACCCTTTCATTTGGAGCATCGGATTTCATGTAGACAAGCTTACGGTGGATACTTATGTTTATTTTTGGTCATACGTTGTCTATTCTCGACCAATACCACCTAACACCAGCGTCATTAGCGAGCGCGACGCCGCACGCGACGCCCAATTGCGCGGCGAATCACGATTCTCTTGCCACATAATCGAATTCTTCTCGTATTTGTGATCCCTGAATCAGAGGGACAGCCGTTTGTTAACTTTGAGAAAGGAAACATTCAATGGTTAGGTGTGATATGTAAGTGGAACCCATGTTGTCTTTTTCGTAATGTTAGACATGTAATCCTGAAACGCTCGCATAGCGCAAAGGTAAATCATCGGTGTTGAATTTCCTAGCAACTCGCTTTTCGCTACGTAATTCTAGAGATTCTTTAAACCTGTTATTGTCTGGCACTTGCTTGAACTGCTTTCCGCGTTGTTCTTCCTGCTTCGTATCGTTGCTTTCCATCTAAAGGACCACCGATCTGATCGATTCCGATCCGTGCAAACGTTAGCCCGTCTTCGACTATTTTTCGCGATTATTGTTCACCGTCAAGAGATATCTAACGCTTACTATTTATACTTTTAGGGTGCGGAGCCTCATAGCAGAAACAAGTTAGGCCTAGTATTCGTAAGATATTGAATCTCTTCACGTGGCTCACTTCGCAGTCGAGCTCTCCAATATGATTGTCAAGGAATAGTGAGTTTTGCCTGAGTTCCGTACTTTTTTCTGTTCATTTTCCATTGTGTGACTTGCATTTGTTACCCGCAGTGTTTACTATCCGTGAGATAGTTGGCCCAACTGGACATTTGAAATGAGGTGCATACTAATTGATGGTGGTTAGTAATCCGTCTTCCATGTCTGCTATGCATTTCTCTGCAAGGAGTTGTGGAACTCTTCTAGGAGGAGTACACTCATAATCAGAACGAATTCGGCGAAAGCTCTTAGAATATGGAGGAAGTAGCGTCAAATTACAACAGAATTGCAGACATGAGGCCAACAACGTAACTGCTCTGCTACAGTGCCATTTTCGAAGCAACCTTAGGCTCGAAACTAATTCTGAGAAGAATAGCATGTTTTCACGAGAGACATCCGTATCTCTAAATATGAAAAAGTGAAGAGGCACGAAAAAGTTTAATTGCAAAATACTCCAAACATCCATAAAGGAACCAAGCAGTTTTTGTCGAATATTTTTTTTGCATAATTAAAACTAGTGGAGAAGTAATTTGACTTTTCAGGCTCCTTCTCGGATTGTGGATTGTTGCAGTCCTTTGCCATAAAACTTTTTGGTGCCTCTACATGTTTTCTTATTGAAAGATACGGGCGTTTCCGGTAGAAGCATGCTCTTCTTCTCAAAACTAATTTCGAGCCCAGGTTGCTTTGAAGATGGCACTGTAGCGAGACAGCTATGTAGCTGGCCTCATGTTTGTAATTCTGTTGTAATGTGATGCTATTCTCTTCATATTGGAAGCAGTTTTGCGCCCGAAATTCATTTTCTTCTCCTCATAGAAAGTCCATAACGTCGTGCAGAGGACTCCACAGCAGACATGGAAGAGGGGGTCTAACCGAAATGTACGTAAGCTTACTATCGCTCAATCGAAGTCAGGAATCATTCGCAGTTTTCTTCCACAAAATTTCCTTTGCACTATTTCGTAGTTTATGATGTGCTGATTCCGAATGAAGGACTGTGACGGCTAGAAGTTAGCCAGTAGCTCAGCCACTCTTGTCCGAGCGCTGCAAATGACTGTGGGGTGTACTATTGTGGGCATGGACCCCTTCTCATAATCAACCTCTATTCTGAATATGCACTTCATTGATATTATAAGGGAAAGCAGGACAAGTAAGAGAAAAGTGAGTGGTAGTTCTGACGCTTACCTGGTTGTCCCGCTCACCTAATTTCAGTATTTGTGTAACGAACTTGGTTGGTTTTTAAACCTGTTCCGGTTTTTCGTCCACTCTTATGTGGCATTAGCACTGGATGACGCGAAGAAACGATTAGTGAGCCAGAGGCGGCAGCATACTGCTTACTGACATGGAGCGAACAGGTCCGAAGAACTCGTGGGGCTGGCAGGAGTCCTTTCTCGGGCTGTTGTCGACGTTTTTTACCTTTTCCGCGGGGTTTGTCATTCACTACAAGGAAGGGAACTCTAGCTGTGAAGTCGACGTCATAAGAGAATATGCCCGGTTTTGTTGGATTTGACGTGATATTAAGAAATATGAGGTTTTCCCGAGAACTCACTTTGCATTTTTTTCACTCGAAATATTCCGCACACCAAAAGCCTCATTTTATTGGTTTTCTTTGACTTTGAACTATCTCAATTTACAGATCAACAGTAGCGTCACCATTGTTTTTCTTGTGCCATAACTCTTGTTTCTAAACCCCGTTGCTTAACAATTACTATCACCTGATGCATTTCAAACCACAGGACGTGTCCCTTTCCTTTGATTTTTTTTACTTCTTCATTTTTTGGTTATTTAACGGAGTTTTTAGTCGGGTCGTCCTTCCTATGACCGTGGAAGAGTACCAAGTTGGACAGTTGTGGTCCGTGGCGGAGGCCTCCAAGGCTGAAACTGGTGGTGGAGAAGGCGTAGAGGTAAAATCTCCGATATAATTTGTTGTTAACTTACCCTTCCAGACTCCTTTATTAAGGTTCTGAAAAATGAGCCTTTCGACGGCGTACCTTTGTTAAATGGACAGTTTTGCAAGGGCCAGTATACACACAAGATATATCACCTTCAATCGTGAGTAATGCTTCATTTCTAGTATTAAGTAGTTTTTCTTTTAATGTTCCCATCGGCTTAGCATCTATTCACGTGGAAATCTTTATTTCGGTTTCAGGAAAGTTCCCACAATTATACGAAAAATAGCACCAAAGGGATCTTTAGCGATACACGAAGAGGCATGGAACGCTTATCCCTACTGCAAAACAGTTCTTACTGTGAGTCCTGTCATGGTTGTGCTTTGTTCTGTGCAGCTATTCGAGTGCAGTCTTGTTCGCTGCGGATGACGGGGCGTGTCAGGGGGGATGGACGCTGCACCAAACACGTCCTGGACCAGTTTTTGAAACAGGTAAGCGACGGAAATCTGTGAAAGACGACTGTTGCGAACCATATGTTACTGTCTCGCTTCTTGCTCCTTCAGCAACTGGTGGCAAACGGATTTGGTGCCGTGCCAAACCCATCCCAGCTTACACACCCCTCTTATCCGCAACGGAAGACTCTAGGTAGCTTCTCTATCTATTGATTAATTTCACAGGTCGCTCACTTCTTTTCAGAACCCTGATTACATGAAAGAAAACTTCTTCATAAAAATCGAAACCATGCATTTACCAGACAGAGGTGATACGGAAAATGTAAGTATTTTGAGTAAAAATTTCCAAGTTTTCTCAATCCTATGTTGTTTGCGATGAGTTCGAATTTGAATTCAGGCTCATGGTCTTCCTCTTGAAGAACTTTCTCGGAGGGAAGTGGTACATATAGACATTGCCGATGACAACGAATACCTGCATGCGGGTGATATCAATCCTTCAACGTGTCCAAGTACATTTGTGAGCTCGAAAACTGGACGGTGTGTTAGATTTTTTCTGTTACTGAAATGTGCTGCATGTCAATATCAGTTTCTGATCTTAGTGATTTTAGTCCCTATACTTAATCGCCTTTTTTTCTTGTGAGCACATTTGGAAGTGGTCATTCCTGTTGATGGGCTGCAATCCTAGGAAAACCTTTATACAAAAAGACTTCATTTCAACCGTGATGGGATCAGTACGACTAACTATCGAAATTCTGTTGTCAAACAGTCAATTACCATTCCTATTACCTTGATCCAGTGGAACAAGTAAACGATCTGACACGCTTTCGGTGTACGTTGGTAAAATTGTAGCAGGGACCATCGTTCTTGAGCTACTTTGATTGCTTCAAGCGGGTCGGTTCTTTCTCATGGGAATTCTCCCTCTGATAAAACATGGCTGTTAAAGACAGCCCCCGCGCACAAGTAGTACATGGTCGTCCTTCCTTGCGCAAGTAGTCCAGCCCCCAAGTTACAGAATGTCCCACTCTCGCGGCTCCTCAGCGAGCGAGGAGCGAGCTACAGCCGCTGAAAGTTCTAGTTCTGAAGCCCGTCCAGTTGGACCGCCCACTTGCCAGATGCCCTCTGACGTAGGGCCGCTCAGTTGTTCTTTGTGGGGCGGCGGGCATTAATCGGAACTGCATGTCCTTTTGGATGACCGCGCTCCTGCAAATAATTACATTTTATTTACTAGGAGCACATTTCAAATGCGACCCATCTTGCAAGATAAGCAGAAGCTCGAGACGCATCAAAAGATGCACGCTACCCGTAACCCTTAATTCGGACGCCGAGTTTTTGAAATTTTTTCTGTCAAGAGTTTTTCGTTTGCGTTTTCTTTTTGTTGTTTTTCGCTTGCGTTTCTTTTTGTTGTTTTTCCGCGTTCTCTTCTTACCAGGAAAGGTCAATAGGTCGCCATGGCCATTCAAGATGGATGCATATTGCCGTGTGCGTCTCGGCGCACTGAGCTCAAATCTGGTTTCAGAATTTGCTGAACGATTCTCTAGGAAGAGTCAGGGGGGTCGTTCTAGCATAGCAGTCGGCCGATCCTCCTTTGCGCAGTCTCAAGTTAAGTTTGAAGGCCGCTGTGTAAAGTTGTCGATGGTGGCAGTGGATAGGTAAGTGGCGTCATATATGGAAGGTCATACGGTTCGGTCCCTTGACAAGTTCCGCACTTTTGCATTTTTTCGAACATCTTCTGTGAGTTCAGAGAATACTTCTATCCGTTATTTTGTCACGCTTCTCTTGTTTGCAGAAGACTTAAAAGACTTAAAAGCCGGCAATCGTGCTTTCGCGTTTAAGACTCTTAGGCAGTGCTTACCCCTTACTGCAATTACCCGAGATCAAGCTAGTTTTAGACCGACTCCTCTTCGCGTGCGCATAATGCCTGCAAAGTGCCTACTAGGGTAAGCCTGCCCTTCCAAACATGATTACACCATCCGCTCGGCCTAAACCCTTAGCACTCGTGCCACAGGCGCCAACGCAAAAATACCCTAAATCAACAAGTTCGTTGAAAACTTGTCAACGGGTAGTATGACCCGCTGAATTTGGGTATCATATCCGTACACTTGGAAACCGCCTGACGCATACGCCACAAGCGACCCATCACATGCTTGTTCGCGACTCCATCGCGTGTAGCGACAAACTCCAGTCGCTTTCGTGCGAGGCTCTTTGTTAGGGCAGTTGGGCAAACTGGCCAGAGTGGCGCATCACTCTTCCTGATTGCTTTCATAGAAATCCTTCCCTTTGCTAAGGCTCAGCCTTAGCAGAGAAAGTGCCCCTTCTCAGGGGAGGGGTGCAGGCGCAGGATGCGTAATCACATTACGTCAAACTGCTCCTTTGCACTTGGAAAATTCAGTGATTTTGATGATTTCGAGTATTATAGCATTGCACAGTATCATAGCATTCGAGCATTCGAGTATAGGAGGTCAAACTACCCAGTTGACAAGTTTTCAACGAACTTGTTGATTTAGGGTATTTTTGCGTTGGCGCCTGTGGCACGACTGCAAGGGGGTTTCGTGCCGAACGGATGTGATAATCATGTTTGGAAGGGCAGACTACCCTAGTAGGCCACTTTCAGGCAATTATGCGCACGAAGAAGAAAGTCGGTCTAAAACTAGCCTGATCTCGGGTGATTGCAGTAAAGGGTAACCACTGCCTAAAAGTCTTAAACGCGAAGCACAATTGCCGGCTTTTAAATCTTCTCCTGCTGCAAATAAGAGAAAGCTTGCCAAAATAACGGATAGAAGTATTCTCTGAACTCACACAAAATGTTCCGAAAAAATGCAAAAATGCGAACTTGTAAACCGAACCCATGACCTCCCATATATGACGCAACTTACCTATCCACTGCACCATCGACAACTTGGCACAGTATGCCTTCAAACTTGACTTGAGCTGCGCAAAGGAGGATCGGCGAGTGCTATGCTAGAACGACCCCCCCCCCTGACTCTTCCTAGAGAATCGTTCAGCAAATTCTGAAACCAGATTTGAGCTCAGTGCCCCGAGACGCACACGGCAATATGCATCCCATCTTGAATGGCCATGGCGACCTGTTGACCTTTCCTGGTTAGCATTGGATGATATATACTACTGGGAGACGGGAAAAACCGATGCGGTGAGACAGGGGTTGCACACGGACCGCGGGCGATTTTGTTTGTGCTGTTCTCAAGAACTTTCCTTGCCTTTTTTCTGCTTTGGGGAATTACTTATCAGCTAATGTTTCATAGAAAAGCAACTATTCATAACACTTTGTCGCGGGAGCTGTCTTTGAAGACATCCCCACGCTCATCCAATCGTAGGCGTATTGCCTTGTTCAAGTAATTCGGTCAGCAGATCGTCCCATTAAAGCTGCTTTATCGTAAGTAAGCACTTATGGCGCTGCGGCCGCCATAAGTGGGAGTTTTGACGCCTCCCTAGCTGTGCCCCCAACGATAATTCAAGGCTTCGTCCGTCATAAGTTCAGTTTTTACATTGTTTTTCTTTTTTCGAAGTTGGATGGTACAGCACATCGACGACGACGCGAAGAAAAGATCAGTGAACTGAAGGCGGCAGATATCGCTTTGCTGGCATAAAACGAACAGTTTCGGAAAACTCGTACATTGAAGATGCCAAAGCGCTCTTACTTACGGTGTTCGATGATTTCTTGGCTTTTCTCTTCCCTGGAGATTCACTTGGAGATTATAGGTTTCTAATGGAAGTCAGTTTCTACAACATGCAATCGCGGGGTCTGCCATCGTCGTCAGCGTGTTAACACCTTGACTGGCAGACAATGGTGTCTCCCATTATATTTTCTAAGGATAAAATGAACGAACAGCCAAGTTCGTCCTAAAGGTGTCCCTGGGGGGTAGCCTGTACCTCTGAAATGGATACCACAGCTGCTTGGCGCGGACTACCTGGCGCCCGCGCCAAAATACCGTCAATCACCAAATTGGTTGAAAACTTGGTTCCTGGGGTAGTTCGACGCCGTGAACACGAATATCACAATCACTTGCCACAAAATCGCCTGGCGCCTGCGCCACAGGCGCCGGAGCCGGAGAGTTAGGGCACAAATCGTGAAAGAAATAGCAAAAAACTTTCGTCAACTTAGCGCCTATTGCGCGCCCCTCTTCAGGAGGTCAAGCTCCCCCAGGAGACAAATTGTCAACCAAATTTGCTCCCAGAGGAAAACCTGGTAAAAACTGGACTGGTTTCTGAAGACGAGCAAAGCTACATTGTGTCGAAGATTGAGATTCGTATTTTCACCATCTCCATTTCTTGAAATACTTTGACTGCAGCCATTCATTTATCCAAAAATTACTAAGTTTCTACGAAGAAAATGTCCCGTCCCACGGGAAATTCATGAGAAAAACGGCTCGTCGTCAACGTGTAAACAATGGAATCGTGGTGTGAGTGGTAGAGGCGAAAGCGTGCGACTGCTGTATGAGTTTCGATCAATATTCTGCCCTCTTGAATTGCTAACTATAAATATTTTTCGTTGGCGACTGGACAGTGGTAAACTGTACTAGCGAATTGGTATCACTACTATTCATAGGTAGCGTGGATAGGGGAATCATCGATGACGTTGGATTTTTGTTTTGTGATTTGAAAATTTTTCGTGCATTTTAAAGGCCACTACCTATTTATACAGGCATATTGGAAAGAAGACTTTTAGTGGTCCTTTAACTGGAAGCTGGATGGAAACTGTCGATCCTGTAATGTGTGCGTACAAACTCGTTACGGTACACTTCAAATGGTTTGGATTGCAAAAAATGGTGGAGAGCTACACTCATACGGTACGGTAATTGGATTGCTTTCACGATGCGACCCAGATGCGATATTTCCAATGGACAACGCTTTCAGCAATATCCTCGCCTGTTTTCAAAATTCCATCGCGAGGTGTTTTGTTGGATAGATAATTGGTATGGCTTAACAATGGAGGATATCCGGGCAATAGAAGCTAAAGCTCAAAAGGAACTGGAGGAGCAACGGAAAAGTGGACAAGTTGGTTTTTACTCAAAAGTAATACAGACATTGTGACTTTTGATTAATCTTTTTGACGTTACAAATTTGTCCTTTCCGAGACATCCTTCGAATTCAGACCAAGTTTTGAGCGAAACTTTTTTCTTCGGGGGCGGATTAGGCTAGAATTTGGCCCCATCTGCATCAAAGAGACACTTTATGATGTTGCAGTATGTTAGAGTACAAATTCATCACTTGCCACTCTATAATTTGTATTTGGCTGATTTGGGGACAACACCAGTGAAGTGGAGCGTGAGCGTCCCATTTCTTGCTCAGGTATGGGGAAAAGTCAATCTCTAGGCGGGACTCGAATTTGCATCTCCAGTTCAGGTATGGCGCAAAAGTCATCGAGCTAACGATAAGAGGATAAGAGCAGTCACATTAGCGTGACAAAAAGCGTACTCGACCTGTCAGCAAGGTATGTGGGTTCCATTCCCGCCTGGACTGACTTCTGCCCATAACAACATATTTGCACTGAATAGAAAATTGGGAGAGGAGATTTACCGGCTGAACACACTGGGTTTTAACTACTTGGCCTGCTTTCAATCGGGGCCGCCGAGACATCCGAAGAAATTAGGTTGGCCAAAAAGTTGTCGCCTGTGCTGGGGGCGACGGTACAATCGCACTTCAGCATCCTGCTTTGTGAGCAGCGGTCACGGCGCGATTTCGGCACTAGGGCATCGTAGTCGACAGTCATCACCATCGAGTAGCATTTTTGCCTGCTATGAGCTCAGCATGGGAATATCACCACACTATACTCACAAAAGATCGAATCTTGCTAATAACGTTGAGATGTGGCGTTTCCCCAGTTAATTTTCGTTGAACTATAGGAAAAGTCCCGGAAGGAGGAACAAACGCCTTCTCATCATGTTTAGGCACCTCGTCCATCAACGTGGGGACATTTCTGTCTAAGGTCTACCTGCTTCCTTAACTTAAAGCATTCTGCGTTCAAAACAGCCTCTTCAAGATCTGCAGGGAGCAACTGGAGACTGCACACTTCATCAATGTCTAGCAATTCAAGCAATTGGGCATATTTATTTTGCGGGTCCTGAGGGCATTTTGTGAAAGATATATACATTGCGCCTCTAGCATGCGAGGCATAGGGCACCTTTATACGAAACCATTTTGACAAGTACCCTATCTGGGAAACGGTAGCAAGAGGTGTACGCACTGATTTATGGCTTGAACTTTCAATGGGTTGGTTCAGATGATTTCCGGTTGACTCAGTAGAGCCTTTCTGGTGAAGAATTTTGGCCAGCTTTCAGATTTGACCCCATCAAGTTGCTTGTATGGTGAGACCTTCCACATTCCTTACACTGATTGACATCTGAAAAATGATTACACACACTGGGGATTAAAAGGGTTCACTCCGCTCTTGAATGGGTGATCTCACTGAAGTGTACATTATAGTAGCCAGCAAGCCATTTTAGGCATTTCGAATTAAAACATTTAATTGCCTCTGAAATTCGTCGGGTGCGCGCCTGATTTCCGATTGTGCAAAATACAGCGCTTCCTTCCGACTGTGCAAAATACTAGCGCTTTCATACTTCGTGGTTAAGCGATCGTATGAGCGCGCGTTCCACTTCAGGGTAATCGCGCCGGGACCGCGAGTTGGATGCTCAAGTGCGATTGTGCCGTTTACCTTACGTCCTGTGCTGGTTTGACTGCCTGAACGGGAATATCATATTTGCTTGGCGCGATAGAGACAGCAAAGCTGACCTGTTCTGGAGTTGCCCTGTATCTTCGAGTCAGTGCAATTTCGCTGATATGGTATAGGTGTTCAGTGCTTGTGTTCAGTGCTACCATCATTTGAGACGAGTTTCTGGCCAAATCTGCTCCTTAGGGAAAGTTTTGTTTAAGATGTGACCTGATTGCGATGAGTGAGGCCGTAAGGCTACTTGCATAGTTCGTGTCAGCGGTCCGAGCGATGAAAGTATAAGTATCGATCAGCGTATAGAGCGTAAGCCTGCGTTCTGAGCGTTTCGCGGGTAATTTTCCTTTTCGCGGGCAGTCTCGAAAACTCTGGCCTACGCTAAAAACGCTGACGCAAACTATGAACGCAGCCCAAGAAATAGATATGGCCGTACAGTTTGCCAACTCTTTTTTTCTCGTTTTTTCTACCTCTTTTGTATCATCCAACAATTTTTTTGTAGCTATTGGGTCTACTTTTACCGAGCTTTCACTGTGGTTTATTCAGGTACGAGGAATGACCGCTGCATAATCGATAAGCTATGTGCTCCGCCAAGATTCATGCCACCACGTTGTTCTTGTTATTTTGCGACATCATTCTGCTATTGCTGCTATCACTCGATGTGCTATTGCTGCTATCACTCGATGTTCTTACAGTTTCTCACATTTAGTACCGTTTACCCCAGTGATTCATAGGCTTTCCGTGATTTATCACCGTTTTTGTTTCATGGTTTTCTTCTTCTCTCGTTATGTCAACCTTTTGACGCTTTTTACTGTTTTACTCGTCATTCTTTCTACTTTTGTGCTATGTGCAATGTAGGCACCACTGATCGATTGATATATTTTTGCGTCAATCTGAGTATTATATTTCTAGTGCAGAAGTGAAGGTTTTAGAGGTCTATTTCTTTTTTTAACATACAGTGATACACGAGTATTTTGTCGTTGTCGTACCATTTTCTCTTTTGGGACTATTCATTTGCTTTTTACATTTCTTCCTAAACAAAGTGCGGCTCCTGCGACTTTGCGTGCACTGAAGCTCGAAGGCAAGCAGCATGATGGGTGGGAGCGGGTGGTTGCTGAGAACGTCATTAGTGGAAGGGTGGTATGGGGTGTGGCCAAAACCCCCCTTCCACCAATGACATTTGCAGCGGCCGCCCGCCCTCAGCCATAATGCCCACTACCTTTAACCTAAGTGGCTTTCAGAAATGTGTCGATGAAGTCATGAAGAAGGAGAGGTTGCACGAAGAGGTCGAAGAGGTATGAAGAGGTTGCACGCAAAACCCCATAAAACATTCGGATTGGTGGAAACGCACTTTTACAGGAGTCGTACTTTGTTTTTTTTTTAGTAAAATATACTTCACTTCCGTTCAGCAATGTTCTTGGATGTGTGTCTGTTGTCATTTGAATCCTCTGTATTTCTGTTTTTTTTTGTGAATCTAACAGACGCGTATTGTGTATTGAATAGAGCTGTTAGTTGTGAATGAGTGGATCAGATTTGATATAGTTCTTTTAAATTGTGCGAATTAAACAGAAGAGCAAAGTGAGTTATCTTTAAGAAAGACTAGGACGTCAGATGGATAAAAACAGAAGAAAAAACCAAGGTTTATCAAAGTACAGCCAAGCAAATTACGAGAATGAATGGCTAAAGAGGACGCATTAAGCGATTAGCGCTGGGGTATAATCGATTTGCGCCAAACGGAAGCGACGAAGAGTGCTTCGTTCATCAGTAGAGAGAACTGGGGCTAGTTTATCATACATTTGAATTTTTTTTACTCGTAGATGAGCTTGTAAGTGCCTAGTCTTTCGAGGACCGTGGCTGTGACCATAGTCAACCGCCACAAAAATGCTTTGTAATTAGAGCCTAGTGAGGGAAAGGTTTGACGAAAGGGGCGGCTCAAAGGCCCTGACAAGTTTTTTGGCCTGAAATAGTCAATAAGGCGTTGTTCGTCAATGGGTAGTTTTTACGAGTATAGGCATGCTGAGGATTAGTCACTCAATCGCGGTAATGGCGAGGGCCATTGTTTTCTTGCTGTGCTTACGAAGCGAGTCCTCTCATGCGGCAATCCAAAAGTCCCGTGAGGGAACGAAACACTCACGAAATTCGCTAGTTCGTTCCTAACTGCATAAATGAGTCTCGGAGGTTTCTCTGAGAGGAATGACCCCAAAGCTTACGGAGTTAATCCATCTTTTTGGGACTGCAAGCATTCTACTCTCAGTCAGAATTCAGTGCCTTACTGAACGCTATACGGCCTGTGGAATTACCTGCTGGGGGGGGGGGGAGGCACCTGATGTACAATTTAGTGTTTTCACCTTCCTGGACGAACGTAGTGCAGTAACAGGGCACATCATTGGCTGGGGATTTTGTTCGGTGGGGGAGTCCGTGGACCCCTCTCCCCTCAACCTGGGAGGTGGTCTCCCACTTCCTCCCTAGTTCCCTTCTCATCCCCCTCGTCGAGCCGGGGTGGGGGTATATACTACATATGAAACAGGAAAGACCGCGAAAAGTCAACAAGTTATCTCAGAAAGCAAGAAGGCAAATACGACTTCACTTCCTCACCCCCTTTTTATAGTGTCCCTGAAACCCAAAAGAAAAACCGACCATCAAAAAATTTTCTCTCACCAAATACGATCTCCCACAGCGACCAAGTACACCCCCCCCTACGGGGGATTCCCCCATGATGATGTGCCCTCTATAGTAGATTAGCATCCCTGAAGGGAAGAAGGCATGGTTGACCTGGCTAGGGTTTCAGGATTCAGAGTGAGAGGGGAGAGGGTGGAGTAACCGACGGAGCAATCGACAATTATGCTAGAGTGTGCCCATGCCGGCTTTTTTCGTATTGAAGAACATGTCCTCAGCAAGGGAGCTACGACCACAGCATGGATGTGGCGTACTTACTCTTACTTTCTGACCTTAGTCTTATTGACCTCCCCCTCTTTCGAATACCTTGACAGAGCTCTCTAATCTAACTGCCCTAATTGTTCCCAGTGAGACCTATTCCTTCTTGTTTCCCCCACTATGAAGTGAAAATCAAGTGACTGCGGCATGTTCAAATCAAGCTTTCTGCCTGGGGAAAAACAAATAGGTAAATGCTACTGTATGTGCCTGAAGAAATCCTGCGGGCTATCAAATTCCCCTACTCAATGACCATGGACAGGGTATTTGTCGCAATGAAATCGCCCTGTGATTTGCCGCATGTCAAAGCGATGACTGTGTTGCGGCTTTTCGCCCGCCTCACGGACGGGCATGAGTATGTACCAGAACTTATACTGAAAGGTTTAGTGTGCTTTTAGGAGCGGATCGAAGCGCTACCAATCGCCAGACGCCATGG